ACTGTATGTTTTTGTTGGGGTTTGTGTTTTCCTTTTTTTTTTAAGCAGAGAAAGGACAGTTTGCAAATGTGAGGAAGAACATTTCTTCATGTTAAAACAAGGTACTTTAATGGAAAGGACACTTCTCTCAGCTTTTATGCAGCAGAGTCCTGCAGAGCTGGGAAGCTCTGTTAAAACGAGAGTCCTTGTGCCCTAAAGGCATTTCTGCGCTTCCGCAGATCTCACCTACACCGTATATGCATTAGCAACATGCACACGGTTTTGGCAAAAGGATGTAGATTTGTGCATACACAAATCAATGTAGGTTTTTGTGAAGTCTTTGCTTCTCTACAAGGAGGAAATATTTTGGCTCAAACATCTTCATTGCACAAAATTCCATGCAAGATGAAGAATAAATTATGACCTTTAAAAACCTAAGAAACTTTTCTCATTTCTCTAGAGAGCAAATTATTGCAGAGAGAGAGGAGTTAGTGTGCCTTAGAGCTGGGAAATTTTCTGTCTAGCTGCAGATCATTAGGAAAACATTTTGGAAAAGTGTTTTCTTTTTTCCTTTGCATTTAAAAGAACACTAAGCCTCGAAAGCAGAGGTCACCCTTTAGTGACTAGAAAATGGTGATAATATGCATTGCTTCAGTTTTGAGGCCTGTAAATAACATTTTTTGATTCCAATAATCTCCACAGTCTGTCAGGAGGCACTGTAAATAGGTGTTGTTGTTGGGGTTTTTTTTCCTGTGGTGTGGGGTTTTTTTGTTTTGTTTCAAAGAAAAGTATATGCCAGATGATCTAAAAAGATCAAATTATTTAAAAGAAAATATTTACCCATCAAATCACTATCAAAAAAACATATGTGAAAGTACAACACAGGAGAGTGAAACAGCGTAGAAAAGATGATTTTACCCTCTCTGCATGCAAAAGGTTACAATAAATAATCAAACCCCTCCCAATGTCTACTGCAGATGTTTCTCAGAAAAATGAATTTTGAACGTGCCTCAGATTCTTTTTCTCCAAGTTGCTGACAGGGAAATACTAAAATCCAGCTCATCAACTAGCACAGACAGATTTGCTGAATGTGGTTTTCCAGTGTTTGCCAGAGAAAGGTGAGAAACTGAGTTACTCTGTTGTGCTAACAAAGCAAGAAGGATCTTGGAGTTCAAGAATTCAAACTGTAACGTCAAAATGATTGTAAAATACCACAGAGTCAGATGAGATGGTTTTCAAAGACATCAACTGGTCTCAGGATTACAAGCTTACTGCAAGAAGAAGAAAAATAAATTAATCTTCACTCACATGGACAAAGAACCAAGTATCAACATTCAGATAAACTTAAGCCTTAACACATATAGAAGGGTTTTACAAATAATGGTCTATTAGGAAAAAATTTTTCTACAATGGCTGACATAACAGATTGATTTGAAAGTAATCGAGTGCTGTAACATCAGTACAGCAAGACACCGTCATCCTATTCAGAGGGGAGCTAAGAACAATCAAAATAGTCCAGATTATCAGATTTAACTACTTTTGTTTTTCCACAAACCCTTCAATTTTCTATTTGTGCCAGTTGTTCTAATCTTACTTTGTTAATTGTAACTTGATTTGCTAAATGTAATAAAAGGTAAGATATATAGGATTAAGCCTGACTACATCTTCTGTAGCTGCAATATTAAAACAATGTTCAATTACAGTAAATGAGGTGCTTCATTAAAGGTCTGTGTTCCTCTATACTTTGCATATTGGTACAACAGTAGCGTATGACTGCTGGAAGGAAAAAAAAAAACACCCCATCCCTTTCCATCTATTTTTGGTGACACCTATTTCAGGGATTAGTCAAAAAATACAGGGAACATCCAAAATAATTTCCAAAAGCCAAAACCAGATTTTTGTGCTCTTTTATGCTCATGAGCCAATGGATAGTCACAATTTAGCCATTAAAAAATGAAATGTAGTTATCCAAGAATACGGATATGACAAGAATAGCAAGCTTAGCCAGTTTGGGGACCTCTTTGGAGTAGATGGTCAACAAAGAAATCAGACGTTTTAAATGAGGTACAATCGTGCCATGTTATTCTTGGATACCTACGTTAGCTGGATAATATTTTTTGACTCTTTTTCTAGTTAAGGAAGACACAGTTTTCAGAGCGTAGTTTAAAACAGAAGCCTATTTTAAATGCCTGAAGTTATATGAATATTTTTCAACAGGTGCTCTTTCTATTTAAGAAATAGACCTGCTTAGACTTGGGGGTAGAATAAGTCCTGTAACTTTGTGTTTCCCTAATAACTAACTTATTTCTCTTACGGGTTTTCTGATTTGATGTAATTTGAGTTTTAAGAGAAGAAAAAACACAAATAGCACTGGCCGTAAGTAATGCTTTGAAGAGGTATTCTTGTCACTTCACTGTTTTGTAGGCAGACTAATACAGTCTGAATTACTGACTCCTATTACTTAAATTTTTCTGGAGTTCAACCAGATGCCATTTACTACAAAATTGTCATTGAACTACACATCAGGTCACAGCTTACTCAAGCCCTTTAGCATCTAGTTGGAAAAGAAAATACCTTCTTAAATGTTTACCTTTTGATTTTCCACAAAAACTCTGAAAAGCTGTCTAGGGAAAACCAAGGTAACCTGGCTCTTGGTGTTTCAGACTAGGAAAATCCATTTGCAGAACTGTTAAAAAAAGACAATGATTCAGCTCATCACAGTGGAGGCATATCTGGGAATGCATTCAGAAGGATCGCATTGCCTAAGTAAAGAAGGGAATGAAAGTCAGCAGGATGCTCCGTTTGTTGCTTCAAACAAGGATGATGGCTCCAGGTGACATCAGATTTCACTGAAGTCTATGGTAAGGCTCTGACTGAACTGACTGAGTTGGCTAAGGGAGTAGAAAAAATAGGGAGAGCAGAGCTAGACAAGGAATACAAGGACAGAGCAAGCCACAAAGAAATCAAATAAAATCCGATAATGACAAAAATATGTACAGAACCCATTTAGATTGCAACCAGGACACCCGTTCTCTTACTCTGAATGGTGTAACAATCACAGATTAGTTTCAACTGAAACAAATTTTTTTTTTTTTTAATGAGAGAAAACCCAAGCTGTTCTGATCCAGGTGGTTTCCAATCATTCAGAGCACCACAAGGTAACAGAGCAGGGAACAAAACTCAAGCCAGTAGGAATTGCCCCCTGACACCTTTTGCTGATGGAAGTCTGGGGGAGGAAGGTGGTAAAAAGAATTTTAAAAGGTTTCATCCTCTTACAGGCAGACCAAGGTGCAAACAGCTATTATGAAATGAATCTTGCATTACCAGGCTGAATTCAGAACAAGCAAACTTGGAATATTCATTTTCAAGTTACATGAACCAGCCATTTCAAATGATTCATAAGCAGCAACCACGTTGCCGTTCGCTTGTGATGACTGACTGACTGCCGTGAACAGGAAGGTTTGAGCACCAGACACAGCATGCCACACAACCACTTCGAGGCAAGATCCCAGGTCTTTCCCGTGCTCTACCTGTTCTGGTAAGACGACAACACACAAAACCTCCACCTCCTGGACTGTCAATCTGGCACCTTTCAGATGTACTAAATAATTAAAAAAGAAAAGTGGGAAAGCTTGTATTTAATTCAGTGAACTAGAGCAGCTCATTCAGAGCACTGGATAAAAAGTTTCTTAAAATATTTTATTTTGCCTGAAATTCAGTGTAAAAGGAAATCCATTTCCCAAACACAACTCCTTAGGGCAAGATTTAGAACCCACTGTAACAAGCATGGCAGTTAACTGTGACATTTCAATGTGAAAGGAAAACTATACAAAAAATTTTAAACGCATACTTTCCCAATGAGATATGCATACACACAGGGACATAGGAAAAAAAAAATCCATACCCCAAACCCAAAGGAAACCAAACAAGGATCCAGGTCTCAAAAAGCCATCAAATAACTGAAAATCATAGAACAAAAATGCTCTAACTGAAGCTCTTCGCTCTGGGATACTATTAAGTCTACTTTCCTCCATTCCTACATTGGAATTTAAAAAAGAAGGGCAGAGACACCATTTCAGCAGTCCTTCCTGACCTCCCACACAAAAAAGACAAAACCAGGAGTTAAAGACAACACGCTTAACTGAAGTACTACCCCCTGCAACTATTTGATAAACGAGATCGTGGTTTTATGCTGCACTCATTATGAGTTGATGGGGGGAGGGGGGGGGAAATAAACCCCACAACTCTAATACTCTTTTTTTTTTTTTTGCAAACAGACCCGTGGAATGCCACTAAATGGAAATAAACCTATGTCTTTCTGGTGACAGAGGTCTTTTACTGCAAAGGTCTAGACAGTTCCTCTTCGTACGATGAGGTGAAATGTCAGTCGTCACATGACAGAATGCCCTGTTAGAAAGTATCAATGAAGTATTTCTGTGGAGAAAGAACTCTACTAATACTCCATGTATGTGTATTTTCAAATGATGAATATACACTACAGTGGGGTCTTAGCATCCGCTAAGTATTACTTTTGAAATGGAAGAACGTAATCATAAAAACACAGGAATAAAAAAAAAAATGCACTAGTATGCGTAGTCAAAGTTTTTAGAATAATACCTACCAAATACTCCACCCAATTTATTTTTCTAAACTACTTTTCAGTATTCCATATAATTTTGTGGGATCAAATGTTCTTCTACAGTTGCACAGTGCAGGTAATAAATTCCTTGTTGTAGGAATGTTATGCTATTTACCATTTGACTTAAATCAGTTTAGAATCCAGAAGACATCCAAATACATTTATGCAACAGAGTATACACTTGTGGGTCAATGGTGATGGGGTTTTTTTGATATTCAATAGGATTTAGTGTAAGTGATAGTGATTAGAGCTCCTTTTGTGAATATGGGGGTGGGGGTTGCCATCTGGAATGGTCTTTTTTCTTTTCTTTTTTTTTTCTTTTTTTTTTTTTTTCATTATGAAGGACCATTGCCTTAGCTTTTTTGGTTATTGCTTTTTTCTTTTTTCTTTTTTTTTTTTTGAAGACCATTCCATTTCTTTATTTTTTAACATCTTAAAGTCATAAGGACTTATATGCAAAGCAGTCATACACTTTATCATTAAAACCCATAGGTAAAATACGTACACAAATCCAACAAAAGGCTAGTACATAGTAAAGCCTAAGCATACTACTATGCAATATTATGAATACATAACTTTAGAGACTTCGGTTTAGTACTGTTATCTATTCATTTCTGAAAACATTCACAAAGATTTTAAATGCAAATTTTCATTCCGTATCTGGAATAGAACAAAAATTATCTATGTTATAACAACTTCTGGTCATTTGTGTTTGACCAATTCGGTAAATTACAAAGAACCCAAAGAATTCTGTAACTTTCTGTAGAACTATGTAATAAAAACATTGCATATGTTCCTAGTATGATGTCTTTAGCAATCATTTACTGAAATGTAACTCAAACATCAACCTCTCAAAACGTATAACTGACCAGCTGCTTTTTAGCCTATATCGAATCCAACTTCATCACAAAACCCCTTTTAATACAAAGATGCAGAAGTACATTAGGTAATACTAATGCAACACAGGTGAAGTTCTAGCATTGTCATTCATCAGTCGAATCATCTTCTCCACGAACGAGATTCATTATCCTCCTCCTCTTCATCATCATCTTGAAGCAGTGAGTCATCCACCAAAGATTCTTCCTGAAACTTCAAGAGAAAAACATGGTATTTTGTTGATCTTTAACACCTTCTGCCATAAAAGGCAAAATACAAATCCCAGATACTTGTGATTTAATAAATACTTATTTTAAATTGTAGACAGGAATGCTTTCAAAAAAATATACTCTATACATATATATTTTATATACATACGTTAATAAATGGCAAACAAAACGTGGTTTTGTTTTCTTTTCAGTAGACTTCAAAATGACAAGGGCATGTGCACTTCATACTCAAACCGCCCTTCTCATCCTTCAGCATATCATTCATGCCCAAGCTGCAGTGTTCCCATGAAACTTAACACGCTACACTGAATACTAATGTTATTTTTTGCACATTCAGAGTTAACCATGCCTGTTTCCACCCAAGAGCTTATTCTACCTGTGCCACAGTATTAAAAAAGGTTGAATCTGAGACATTTTGATTTTGACAGATAAATGAAGCTTAAAATTGGTGCAAAGATTTAAAAGATTGGGGTGGGAAAACAGGCATTTACAACAATTTAGACAAAATAAATTAATGTATTTTCAACTGCTTTCAGCAACATCATAACCTGACAGACTTCACAAAACCCTGGAGCATTTCAGGTCAACAGATCCAGGCTTCGGAGAGGCAAAGATTTAAAAAAAAAAAAAAAGATAAACAGTGAGTTGTTTTATTTCCTGTCTTTTTTGATGACTGCCTCTATCATGGCAATTTCTGCAGCCACTAAAGAAAACTAAAACACAAGGCTGTCTCTCCCTAGCTGTCTCCCAGCTGCCACGTAATGGTTATGGTCTTCCTGGCTTATTATTTTTGACCCAGTAATTTTAGCTTTTTTTGCTACAGAATTTCCAAATTCAACAGGAGGTAGGTTTATGAACTTACGGAGCGTTCTGAAAAAAGTGTGAGGCTCTAGGCTGAAGAAAGCCCAGAACTAAGACTTTTTTCTTTCCGGTAGGCTGTTTTACAAAAGGAGAAAGTACCATCTTCAGTACTTTGCCTACAGAAAATGCATTTTAAGAAGCACATCTGTGGACAGCTGACCTGTCTGTCAATGTATGCTTGGCTACTCTAAGCCAGACTAAAACACCACAGCTTTCTGAGGACTCAGCCTCTTCCCCTGATGTCTAGGTGACCAGAAAGCTAAAATATGCAGTGCTGTCAAAAAAGAGCAGTCCTGGACAACACACAATGCTGAACCATAAGGTGCACAAGGCTGAGTGGCAGCAGGGACGATCACAAAGCCTGGAACAACTTCCATACGGAGGAACAACTGTAAGGACTCTAGACTGGAGAGAAAGTAGGTAATTGTTGAGAAGTATGACAGGAATCCATACACATGAAGTATCTCGGAGAAAGTGAAGAGAGAATGATAGTTTTCTTTCTGATGCAAGAGTAGAACATCAAAATCAAACATGCAGGTGGCAGGTCCCATATAATGATACTTAATCTTAGTAGACAGTTGCACAGTAGCATTCCTTGTTGCAGGACATGACAGATACTACTCAGATTCCAAATAATCAGACAAATTCACAAAAGTCTATCAAGTACTTTAACCTATAAAGACACCACACCTCTGACTCAAAAGATCCCTGAACTGCAAACAGATGATTAAAAGCTTATCTCTGCTTACACTTACACTCTTCCTAGGCACCCGTTGAATGAAATATGTTAAATAAAAAAAAAAAACCCAGGGCCAAGTAAGAATCCAGCAATACTATTAATGCAAATATAGGTAAAGTACTGTTCTTGTATTACACATCTGCTTTTGCAAAGATTTCAGTGAGCACACAAAAGCCATGAACAGCTGGGGGTTTTAATCCAAGATCAATTCCTATACATTTTCCACAAGAATAATTAGCCAAGGACTGACTGCAGAAACAACCCAGAGACAAATAAACCCTGCTAAATTAAAGAACAAAATCAGATCTCAAGAAAAGTGTTTGAAAAATAAGTGGTATTGATGGTGGGGAATACTTAGAAGAAGGTAAACATTCAAATAATGAAATTATTTCTCCATTAACAAGAAAACCCTCTTTTTTTTTTCTACTTAAATTTTGAAAATCTGGAATATTTTAGGTAAGTCCATCATTTTGTGAAATACAGAAAACAGCCTCATGCAGTCTTTTCCCTAACTTTTCTTTCCATACCTTATGATTCCTGTTAAGGAGAAAAAACGTCACCTAAAATAGATGTATCCTTACCATCACAAACGCTTCTCGGCTGACAAGATGTCATCAAGCCTCTAGGCCTGAGGTCTTT